CCAGCATCCTGGCATGCTCTCTGAACTGGGCAGGGCTCACTGCTCCACAGCAGGGCTGGCCCCTCCCCTCTGCTCCCTGGCTGCAGCTCTGGCAGAGACTTGCGGGCTGCTCCCGCCCCCTCCCCACACTCCATGCTAAACAGGAATCCCCCTCTTCCCTCCGTCTTGCTGCGTGGTGTGTATGTATTAGCTTGCAGACCACATGCTAACTACAGTCTGTGCTGTGACAAAGGCAGAATCAGCAGGTAGCTGGTAATGTCCCTCTGTTGTTTTCTTAATGAGGTGATAAACACTGAGTTACGGGTGATAAACACTGTTATCAATTCCCTGCTGGGCTAATCAGAGCATCCTGCCCCCCTCCCCCTCAGCTCAGCTCTGAGGAAGGGAAAGGAGGGCTGTTCTAGCAACACCTGGCATCTAGTCTAAGCCACTGCAGGCATGTGCCTGCATTTCTGGAATGAAAAAGGAATGTTTATCCATCTCCAAATCAGTTCAAACTCTGCAGGTTAGACTAACCTGCAAATATTGAATCAATTCAGACTCAGGGTTCTTGAATGTCTGTCCCTAGCTCGTTTGTTTATATCAACAGGGCTTCACCAATAGCTGTTGAATTCAATTACATCAATAGTATGGTATTCAAGGAAATATGGTCTTTTCAAATGAGTACATCTGAGGCATACTTGTAAGCCAAAACCACTACCATAAACTCTACCCACTACTTCATTAATCAGAGCAACTGACAGGGGGTCCCCCACATTAATATACAAAGAATAATGGACCCTCTGAAAATAACTTAAAATATTGCCTTATCTGTAGTATTGCCTTGGTTTTTTTCTTTGTGATTTTAAAAAAAGTTACACATTTTTTCTATTCCATTGACCTTGTCTCCCATTTTGTACTATAGTCAGGTGCTTTTTCCTCAAGATTGGAGGAGAATGTGTACTTAAAATTGTATATGTTAAATACAAACATTGCTTTTCAAGTTAGTCATGCACATGTTCTCCCCTCTTCTGCTGATATTCTGCTAATTTGCCTATTTAAAATTTATAAAAGAAAAATGGAGTAGGCTTCTCCCCTCCAGTCGGAGGAGATACTTTGGCTCTACTTACTGTTGGCTGGTTGGTTTTCTGCATTTTTCAAAATTCTGTGCCTCATTAGCAAAATCTGAATTTCATAATAGTTAAAAAGCAGTTTTACATAGGTATAGCACTACACAAAGTCAAAATATGCTACCTCTCCAGGCTTTGGTTGTGCTCATGCACACTCAATTCTCTGAACCAGTTAGTTTATAAGGTGCTACCCTGCTCTACCTTCTGCTTAACTTCAAACTAACATGGGTAAACACCTCCCTGCATAATGTAAATATTTATGGATAAATTACAAATGCAATTTACATTACAATCTTTTATTAATATAATATAATATGAAACAAAATTAAAATTATAGTTAAAAATAGCTTTAAGAGTAGTAAACTGGGGACCTTTCTTTTCTCTGTTGCATTCCACATGAAAGATACATATTTAGAAAATGTTCTTTTTCTTTAATTTCACAAGGGATGTTTACATGCTGCAACACTATACTTAGTGGAAAAACCCCACATCATGTTCAAGATGCCTAACATGGAATGCCAAATTATAGGATATTTTAATGATTATGTAGGTACTGCGTATAATAGTTACCTTTGAATCCTTAAGAAAGCTGTTCTTAACTATGACTTGCTCTCTGTGTTCATATGTAATCTAAATAATATATAAATAAATGTGAAAGATTGCAAAGACAATTAGATGTGCAATTTATCCTTAAATAGGATAGTGCTAAGTATACTGAGATGTCTCCATATGTGCCCTTAAATGGCATAGGTGGCATTCTTTGAATATTTATTATACATTAAGACCCATTTGTATATCATATAATATCAAAACTTTTCCATTTATACTTTGTAGCCACTCTTGGGCGTATGTATGCATATGATGTATCTGCATGTGGGAAGGGTGTATAACAGTCTTGGGTTTAAAAAAAAATGTCCACATACATTTTTCCATGCCCCACAATCATTCTTATTGCCTGTCCCTGTGTCCCCTCTGTTTCAGCTATATCAATGCTGATTTTAGTATATGTTTCTGTATTTTAAGTAAGAAGCTATATAGCCTTGTTGTGGATTTAAAGTAAAAAGAAAAAAATAAGTTTTATGTGAAGGCCATTATTATATGACCCATTTTAAAAAATACCTAGTCTGGTTCTGTAGAAATGCTTCATCTCAAGAAAATGTTTGATTGTCTTTCATGGTGCTGGCCATACCAAGGGCTTATGGTACGAAAAAATATTTTCTGCATGGTTTTGTCTCATTCCTTATGTATCTGAACATTTGGGCCAGATACAGACATTACACATAAACCAGTATTACTGACTGGAAATCAATCTAAACCTGTAACACAACAGAAGTTCACCAAACGTAGACTGGTTTAAAAATGGCAGAACCCAGTCCAGGATAGACCTGGATGGAAGTAGCATCAGACTTAAGCAGTTTAGGTTAGACTGATCTATTAAACTTCTGTACTAGATCCCCTCCCAACTCAAGTTACAGTCTACTAGCATCTGAGGCATTTGCGGCCCACCACTAGCCTCCCACTCTTAGGGAGTTGCCATTGCATCCCACCCTTGGCTGCTCTGTCCCCAAACTCTCTCAGAGCCAAGTCAGCACAGTGGCTGAACCTGATGGGGGAGTGGTAAGGGTGCTCCACTGTGCCCCGCAGCCTGGTCAAGCTCCCTGGCTCTGTGCCCACTTACAGGTCATGTAGATCCCTGGGTGGATGTGCGGGAACCCACTCTGCCCGCTTCCTCCCCACCCCATCCACCCATGATCAGGCACAGCGCCAGGGAGCAGACTGACTACAGATGCCCGAGGCTGTTGCTGATGGGCAGAGATCCTGGTTTTCTCTGATTAAAAGAAATCCTCAATTTTGTGGTTAGAAAATAACCCAAAATTCACATTTTTCCATGATCAGAATGAAACACCACTATACATATATCTGTGTATTAGTGGTGTATCATTTTGTCCCGGAAAAATGTGGGTTTGGGGTTACTTTTTGTAACCTGAAAATTGGGGATTTTTTTAGTCAGAGAAAACCAGGATCCTTACTAATTGGTGAAGGGTGCTTTTCTGTGCAGCCTAGTAGGGCTCTCTGGTGCTGCGCCCACTCGTGGGTGCATGGGGAGGCCTTAGATGGGTATGCAGGAAGCCACTCAGAGCCTCCACATCCACCCATGAGCAGGTGCAGTGCCAGGTAGCAGACTTCGCTGCAGGGTATGGGAGCCAGTTGCGTCCACAGCTTGCCTTCAGTTGACAAATGCCAGTAGTGGGAGAATGTGTGCTCAGCCCTGTCCAGCAGCCAATCAGGGGTGGCCCTGCTGCTGGGCTGCACTTGGCCATCCTCAGCAGTGGGGAGCCCCCAACCTGCTGGCCTCAGCCAGTGCATGTAGCCTGTGTTGCCCCCTTCACTCAAGGCCAAACATCCATTCTATTTGGTAGCAATCTAACCTAGGGTGCTTAGAGTAAAACACACAAGTTAGATCACTTCCACCTCAGGCTTTTTAAATGTCTTGTGCCTAGCCTTGGTTTGACAGTGACTGCTCTGCACTTAAAATAGTGTTCAAATTGCCCACTATGATGCCTGTGTTTCTTTCCTAAGTCTGTTAATTGCTGTTAATTTAGAATCCCATAAAGTGTATGATTAGTTAAAAAAAATGCATATTGTCACTTTTTTTAGTTTTGGCTTTCATTTACCATTGTATTGCTCATTTATTTTAGCTTGGGTAGGTTTATCTGAAGTCTTCCTTGATTTAAACTTAAATACTTTTCCATCATCTGTAGGTTTTGCCACCTTGCTACTTGATGCCTTTTTCTGAAGATTAATACTTATGGTCCTATTATTTGTGGCTCCCAGCTGTTAGACTTTTGCCAGTGTGAAAATTGTCCATTTATTTTGTTTTCTGTCTTAGTTTCTTATTCATTTAGATTTTTTTCTTTTGTACCATAGCTATTTTGTTACTCCAGTTGCCTTTTCAAAGTCCAAAAAAATTATTAAGTTGTTCTTTTCTTATTGACTGTCCCATTCACTTATTCTAGTAAACTTGTGAGATATAATTTTCTTTCACAAAATTGAGTTGTGAGTAAATTTTATCATATCATGATCTACCACGTATTTAATATTTCTGTTATAATGTTAACCAAATTGCAGGTAAAGGATTGAGACTTACAGATCTGTAAATTTCCCAGATCACCTCTTACACCTTTTTATTTAAATATAGGTACAGTTTTTGATATACTTTGATATTCTCCAGTTCTTCAACAGACTGACTGATTTAAATGAGAGAATGAACATTTTTCCCAACAGCTCAGTCACTTTATTTTTGCATTCTTTAAAACTCATGACCCTGTATCATCTAGTCCTAGTGATTTACAATATTCTCTAGTGAAGACTAATGAAAGAGATAATTTACTTTTTCAGCAATATCTTTTTTTAATTGCACTTCTACCCTGCAGCCCAAAAGCCCCAGCTGTTCTGTTGCAGCTTTCCTGTTCCTAATGCACTTAAACCAAGCAACAAGGTTTTTTTAAAATACCTTCAGTATTGACTCTTTGGTTCACTTTCAGTATGCCATTCTTATTTTCTTTTTACAAAATTAATGCTACAGTTTATTAGCCACTTAATTTGCTTCATTAATATTGAATTACCATATCCTGAAGAATTTCTGATTGCATTCATATAACTAATGTGACTGTAGGACCCTAGAAAATAGTATATAGTCTAGAAACAGAAAATATAATACCACCCCCAATAAAGGGCCTTCAGGTATTCAATTTTCTGTCCTTTTTTTAACAATAAATCAAAGTACATATTTAAAAAAAATCCAGCCACCATCCTTTGTATTGTAATCTTTAGGGTAATGTATGTTTCAGAATTTAATGTGTTCATAGATTTGCTTCTGCTGATTAACAGGTTTTGGATGCAGGGAGACTGAAAGAATACGATGATCCATACATTCTGTTACAAGAGAAAGAGAGCCTGTTTTACAAGATGGTGCAACAAGTGGGCAAGGCAGAAGCTGCTGCTCTGATTGAAACAGCGGAACGGGTAATTTGAAGATGTGCTAATTAAGTTTAAGTTTATCTCTACAGGTTATTTTTCACAAGTTAGCATAGTCAGCGTTGGAGCCAGCCCAATACACTCTGCTTTAGTTAAAGATCTGTCAGCTTTTCACTTCTAAATCCTTATGTTCAGTGTTTTATTACTTGGGATTTAAAATAATATATATCTAGAGTTTTAAATGATAAATATCTTGAGCTGCCAGATTAGTCTGCATGGTGTGCACTTACATGTATGTATAAATCACATGACAGACATTGGTCTTTGTTAAGCATCTATGACTTTGCAAACTTAACATTCTTTTAATTTTTTTTTTAAGTCGAGCACTAAGAAGTTAGTTATCCAAACTAAGGATGCACATATAACCTTAAATCTAAGACCCTGTGTGCATGTACATTATGGAACAGTCTTTCATTATGTATTTCATGTTTGCCTGTCCAAAAGGTCCCCTGCTCCATTCTGTGCACAGCTGGGTGGTGCTCAGTTAAGCACCAGTGTTCATATTTTGTTAGCTTCTTATTGTTCTATGCATGTCTCCTTATTTATTCTGCTCCCTTCAGACCTTCTCTGAATGAAGAATTATCAATTTCCTTAATTCTCTTGAACTCATGGCTATAGAATCTTGGCGTTTAACCAACACAGACTAATTTATTTTTTCAAGACAGAGGTGGGTCAGAGAAGTGTGGAGATGAGACAGAGATACAAAATGTTCAGTAAGTTGAGATCCCTGATTTAATTAGCCTGTGGCCTATTTTTTTCAGAGAATCTAGCACTTTTTAGATTCCAGAGCAGTTTCATTATCTCTAGTGGTTGTTGAAAGTGCTCAGAGTTTCTGCTAATATGATGTGAGATCTCAAGTTGGGAACTTAGTGGGCATGTTTACACATGACACTACATTGCTGTAGTGATGCGCTATGGCAACGTAGCATCTGGTGTCTACATGTGACCAGCAGTTACTTGGTTGTAGTGGCATGCTCTCCCATTATAGCGTGCCACTACAATGAAGTAGCTGCTAAAAATAACTGTACGCCACACGTATGGCGCAGTATGAACAGTTACTGTGCCATGCTTTTGGAAGTACTAAAGCATGGTACAGTAGCAATATTGCCATAGGGCAATGTCTGAACATGCCCAGTGACTACTATTTCTCCCAGCATAACATTTGTGGGGCAGTAGGAGGAAAAAATACAAGGAATCTCTAAGGAAACATTCCACATATTGAACCATGAGACCTTCCTGTTTCTTCTTGGAGCAGCCTTGCATTGTTCACTTGTAATGCTCCTGATTATCCAAGGGTGGGTTTTTCTTGAGTCCCCCGCCAAGATAGGCCTTCCCTCAACTTGCTTGCCATGATTTTGACAATACACAATTTGATAGGAGGGGTTCAATGTTTTTCAACACAGGGGTCCCACTTGGGGTTACTAATGGATCTGAGAGCATCTGATGAAGGGGTTCCACCTCCCCTACACCCCCAGCCATAAACCAGCCATTGGTGTTGAGACAATGGACCGATGCAGGACCTTGGCTTGATCTGGGTTTTGACCTAAGGGGCAATTCCGAAGACACTTCCTAGTCTTGTCTGGATTACTCTGTTGCTCCCTTGCTGACAAGGGGTTAATCTTGAGCTTAAGGCCAGACCTTAGAACTCCACCCGTCTCAGGCGGCCTTCTCTCAAAAAAAAAAAAAAGAAAAGAAAAAAAGCCAAAAAAAGAAAGAAATGAAAAGGAACCTAATTCCTACGATGGTTGCCTACGACGGTCTTAGCCTGCCGGCAACACATCCAGCTTGTTTAAGCTGATGGGTTTTGTTTAGTAAATGAGGCTTCACTCCCTAGCCTTAGGAGCATGGAGCCTATACTGCTCAGTATATATTGATCCCCAAGGGCTCCAACACATCTCTGCCTCGGTGTCCTGCAACTGCCGCTGCCTCTGCCATAACTGGCACAGAGTGGCTCTCCACTCATCTCCCTGGCACTCCAGGTGTCTTTTCAATCTCCTGCGGCAGCACTGGGGGATGATGTCATCAGCCCAGTGCCGCCCAGCTTGTTAACAACTGCCCTGCCACTTCCTTCTCCCAGGGTCAGTTTTGTGTTTTATTGGGGGCTTGTTCAGCCCCTGTGGAGTTCTGGGTCTTGCTTGTGGGGTCTTTCAGATCCCTTTTGTTCCATCACTATATATTTTATAACTTATGCAGCAAAAGGTAAAGGGGTCCTTTAGACCAGGGGTCAGTGCCCTATAACAGCAGACCAGATTAACAAAACTTGGTTCTAAGGTGGGCTGGACTATAGCTTCCAGGGTGCAGTGCTCTGGTGGGGTGTAGTTCCCCATCCAATGGGAAGTGAGGGAAGCAAGACTATGCAAATGTCACTGGTAATTCCATTTGTCTTGGAAATGTTGGGCAGGGTAGGGGAGCTGTAAGACCTCTGATGGGTCAGCAGGGCCTGAGCATCTGTGACTCACCCAGTCTAAGACTCTGCGGACGCTCCTGGCCACTCGCACCACTGGGCCTGGTTGGGAGCCACAGGTGAGAGTGGCTAAGAGGAGGCTATGGGGGCTCCCTGCATGGTAGCAAGAGCAAGGTGACACCTGGGGGCCCAGGATTTTTTGGCATGCTTGATGTGATGCACAAAATTTCTTTGCAGACTGGATGAATCCTGCAGGGTGTAAGTTACTGATCCCTACTCTAGACAGCAGCCTCTTCTACTATACAGTTCTGGTTCATTCCCTCATTATTGGTGCTCTCATGTATTGAATGATCACCAAGGATCCTGGTTTTCTCTGATTAACCCCCCCAAGTTTTCAGATTAAAAAAAGTAGCCCAAAATCCACCTTTTTTCGTGATTAAAATGAAACGCCACTAATATATATAAATAATATTAAGGCTGTGCAAAGCTTTCAGTGGCTGAATCTCTGAATCCAAATTGAATCAGAACCTTCCAAATCAATTCAGAGAGATTCAGAAAGATTCAGAGATTCAGACATAGACATAGACACAGCTTTAAGTGCTTTTTCTACACACCTCAAAGTAACAGGCAGCTCGTGAATTCTGCGATGCTGGGGCACATGGAGCATCCCACAGAAGTGCAGGGGGGTGGGTCCCCAGCACGCTTGGAAGCAGACCCAGAAGCACTTCTGCTTCACTTCCAGGTCTGCCAGGGAGCGCGCTGGAGGCCACCCTTGTGCCCCCCTGGTTCAGTAACTGGTGCCTCCTGGGTCTGCGGGGGGGGGCACTCAGGGTCCCCCTGTAGCTGATTGCCAAGCTAGCAAGGTGTGTGGGCCCCCAGCATGCTCCCCGGCAGACCCCCGCACTCCTGTGGGACGCTCCATGTGCACCAGCATCGCAGCAATAACAAGCCACCCAGCATCGCAGCAATAACAAGCCACACCTGCTACCTCAAGGTATGTAGAAAAAACTTTAAAACTGTCTATGGCTGAATCACTGGTTCTCCAAATCAGCATTGAATCTTCAGATTCAGATTCATCTGAATCAAATCAGGGACAGTGATCCAAATCAACTAATCGAAGCACTATCCCTGATTCAGGCCAAATCTGAATCCGAATCGAATAGGGCCCAACAAAGTTGGCATCATGCACCACCTTCACCAGATTGGCCCCTTTGTCAGTGACCCTGAACCCACAGGTGAGTTTTGCCTGCCCAATGAGCCCCCACTGCACCATGAAGTTCATGGCCACCATGATCTCCCTTGCTGTGTGGGACTCATCCATCACCTCTGCTTGAAGGAGAGCCCACCGATGGCCTGACTGATTGCACCAGTGCCCTGTGAGGGAGAGAGAGGCATGATTTCCACCCTGGCTGCTCCAGATGTCCGAAGTAAAGTGCAAACCTATCTGCCTTGCGCTGCTCCTCTCTCAAGTACTTCCTGCATGCCTCATACAGGGAGTGCACCACCATCCTGCTAAAGGTAGTGCATGCAGGCACTTGGTTGGATGGAGCCTTGAGTGCCATGAGCCACCTGAATCCTGGATGCTCAACAAAGGAGAAGGGCTGGCCATCCAGGACAAGCATCTCTCCAGTGCTCTGGGTGACTTTGCTTGCCTTGAGAATGCGCCCCCCCACCCCTTGTCTCTGCCTTTCCCCCACTGGTTTCTTGGGGACAGGGGCTTTGGAGTGAGAGGGGGACTTCTGTTTGGGCACGCCCCCACTAGTGCCAGGCTGAGGAGGAAGAAGGGCAAGGGGGTGGTGCCTGCAGAGATGCAGCATTGCTGTGGTGGTGAAGTGTTTCACCTTCTTGCCCCAGCTGATCCACTTTTGGCAGTGTTGGCAGGTAGCATACCTGGGATCATCAGCCACCTCAAAATGATCCCATACTATACTACCCACCTGCTTCTGGGTTGAGGGTGGGGACCCTGCCTGATCCCCCTCCTCCCCAGGCAGAGGAGCTGAGCCACCTGCCCCCACAACCTCCTCCAAAGTACATTCCAGAAGAGACCTGCCTCTAGGGGAATTTTGAGGGGTGTGGAGCACAAACTCAAATTCCCCCTTCTTCCCCAGAATTTCCTTTGCTATGGCCCTGAGCAATTCTGCTTGCAGATTCAGCTCCTCCTCTGACACTGGAAGGCTCATGCTGGAAACTGAAATTGGGGTGGAGACTGTCATGGTGGTGCTGGTGGTTATTACTGGTGTTAGTGGAGGTGGTACAGGTGCAGACACTCTCCCACTTCCTTGCTCCCACTAGCAGCAGAAAATTCATTCCTGCCAGGAAAGAGGGTGCGTCTATGTTGGGGGGGTGGGGATTGCAGCTCTCCTTCTGCCCCCTCTCCCTCCCCTGCCAGAAGACCTGGCACCTGCCTTTCCAGCACACTTCATGGTTTGCTGCAACATGTGTGTGTGTGTGTGTGTGTGTTGTGCTTTCCTGCATAGTGATGACACACTGTCTGGGAAAACATGGATTTCTTTTTGTGTGGGAGAAAAAAAGACAGATTAAGAAGAACAAATAAGAGGATTTGGGGACAAGAAAGGGATAACAA